GTGTCTGTCCCTGTGTCTGTCCCTGTGTCTGTCCCTGTGTCTGTCCCTGTGTCTGTCCCCGTGTCCCTCTGTCTGTCCCCGTGTCTGTCCCTATGTCTGTCCCTGTGTCTGTCCCCGTGTCCGTCCCCGTGTCCGTCCCCATGTCCCTGTGTCTGTCCCTGTGTCCGTCCCCGTGTCCCTGTGTCTGTCCCTGTGTCCCTGTCTGTCCCCGTGCCCATCCCGGTATCCCAAGCCCTGTCCCCGTGTCCCGTTGTCCATCCCCTTGTCCCACGCGCGGGGCCCGGGGCGAGGCGTGGCCTCGGCGGGGCGTGGCCGGGGCGTGGCCGGGGCGTGGCCGCTCGGAGCCGCCGGAGCCGCCGGAGCCGCCGCGCCCGCGATGGAGCCCAACAGCCCCCGCAAGATCCAGTTCACGGTCCCGCTGCTGGAGCCGCACCTGGACCCGGAGGCGGCCGAGCAGGTGCGGGGACACCGGGGGGACACCGGGGGAACACCGGGGGGGCTCCGGTGGGGCGCGGGGCCGCGCGGAGCAGCGAGCCGGGGGGGCTCCGGGGGGCTGCGGGCACGGCGGGGGCACGGCCCGGGCGGGGGTGCCGGTGGTGGCACCGTCTGGGCCGGGGGTGACGCGGGGACAGCGGCGACAGGAGGCGGCAGCTCCCCGGTCCCCGGGGCCACCCGCGCGGAGCGGCCGCCGCTGTCCCCGGAGCCCCGCGGGGCCGTGGGGCGGGGGGTGACAGTGCCAGGGCCATGTGCCCGCTCCGCGCGACGCCACCGGGGCCACCCCGGGACCCCCCGGCCCCTCCTGCCCTTGCCCAGCCCCTGCTCCCGTCAGGACCGGTCCCAGAACGGCCCCGGTCACGGGGGGACCCCGCGGGGCCACGGCCGGGGACCCCCGGGCACCCCCAGCCCCCCGTGCCACCTCCCCGGGGGCGGCAGGGGACAGGGGGGGTCTGGGGGACCTCTCGGCCCCTCATGGTCCGCGGGGGCTTGAGGGGGTGAGGAGAAGAAGGGGGGTCCCTACTGTGTCCCCCCAGCTGGGGATGGGGGCCAAGACCCTGCCGGTGCCAGCGGAGTGGGGGCGAGGGTGGCACTGTCACTGAATTGTCACTGGATGTGCCCATCTGGGGCCACCACCCCGCGCGGTGGCAGCAGCAGGGGGTCCCCAGGAGGGAGGGGGAGAGTTTGCGGGTCCCCAGGAGGGAAGGGGAGAGTTTGGGGGTCCCCAGAAGGGAGGGGGAGAGAGGGGGGGTGGGCACGAGCCCCCCAGCACCCAGCGAGGGGCACCCCCAGCCCCGTCCCCATCACAGCCGGGCTCGGGGGCTCAGGCACTGCCCAGCCCCGGGCACCCCCTGCCCTGCCCTGCCTCAGTTTCCCCTCCCGGGGGTCTCACCCAGCACCTCTCGGGGTCCTGGGGTGGGGGTGACCGCGGCCCCGTGCGGTGGCAGCAGGTGACACTGCCGGTGTCCCCTCCCTGCTCCTCTTCCTGGGGTGCCCCTCGCAGCGATGGGGGCTCGGCCGTGCCACCCCTCCCCTGGTGGCACCGCGGTGTCCCTGTGTCCTGCGGGGTCACCCCAAATCCCTCCAGCCCCACCCTCCCGAAGGACCTTGTCCCCCCCGTGTCCCCCCCGCAGGTCCGGCAGCCCCCTGACCCCCATGTCAGCCGAGCCCCCCCTGTGTGCCCCCCCGGTGCCAGGCCCGGCCCAGGCCTTTGTCCTGCACCTCTGCCCGTGTCCCCAACTCCCCCCGAAGGCCGCGGGGACAATCCCGGGGGGTTTTGCCCGGGCGTGCCGAGCCGAGCCGAGCCGGGCCGGGCCGGGCCCCTCCCGCTGCCGCCGCCGCTGCCGGTGCCCCGTGCCCGGTGCCCGCTGCCGGTGCCCGGTGCCGGTGGCGGCCCCGTCCCGGCTGCCCCCGGATCGCGCCGCGCTCCTTGATCGATGCTGGAGATTGATCTAAAAATAGCTCCGGGAGGGAGCGGGGATGGAGGGATGGGGGAGGGATGGAGGATGGAGGAGGGAGGAGGGAGGGGAGGACGGAGGGAGGGAGCCCGGCCTCTCGCCCGCCTCATTAGCATCTCATCAGCATCTCATTAGGCAGCCCGCCTCATTAGGGAATCCTCGCTGGGAAATGCGGCTGGCGGAGCGCTCAGTTACTGGGTCAGCGGGGAAAGGGGGCGCGGGGTCAGCGCTGTCCCCACCGCCACCGCTGTCCCCATTGCCATCGCTGTCCCCACGGCCACCTCTGTCCCCACCGCGGCCACCAACCCCCGCAAAAGGCAGCGGCGGGGCCGGAGCGGCTCCGGGTGTGACCTTGGGCAAGGACAGCGGCCGCAGAGGAAGGGCAGGGCCCCGCCGCTGTCCCCGTGTCGCTGTCCCCACGCCGCTGTCCCCACGCGCTTCCCGCGGCCGGGTAAAATTAGCTCCGGGATGGAAAAGCCACGTGTGTCCGGCCACCGCTGTCCCCGCGGGGCCAGCACCGGGGCCAGCACCGCCCCAGGCACGGCGACACGGCGGGCTCGGGGCCAGCGGGGCCGGGGGGTCGGGCACGGCCGAGGGTCCCAGTGCCATGCCTGGGGGTCCTAGTTCTGTGTCCGGGGGTCCCAGTTCTGTGTCTGAGAGTCCCAGTTCCATGTCTGGGGGTCCCAGTTCCGTGTCTGGGGGTCCCAGTTCTGCGTCCGGGGGTCCTAGTTCCGTGCCTGGGGATCCTAGTTCCGTGCCTGGGGATCCCAGTTCCGTGTCTGGGGGTCCCAGTTCCATGTCTGGGGGTCCCAGTTCCGTGCCTGGGGGTCAAAGTTGTCTCTTCTGTCCCCCCCAGATCCGGAGGCGCCGCCCGACCCCGGCCAACCTGGTCCTGAGCAGTGACCAATCGTCCCCAGGTGGGTCCCAGCGGTGTCCCCGTGTCACCCCCAGCCCCAGCCCACCCAGGGACCCCCCCAGAGTGCTCAGGGACCCCCCAAAGATGCTCAGGGGTCCCAAATATGCTCAGGACACCCCCAAACGTGGTCAGAGAACCCCCCCATTATCCAGAGGGTCCCCCCACATGCTCAAGGACCCCCTAATGACACTCAGGGACCCCCTGTATGACTTAGGGACCCCTCAAAAATGCTCAGCGACCCCCACATGACACTCAGAGCCCCCCCCCCCNGGGTATTGGGGACACTGGGGACACTGAGGGGGCAATGGGGACACTGGGGACATTGGGGGCATTGGGGACACTGGGGACAATGGGGACAATGGGGACAATGGGGGCACTGGGGGTGCTGGGGGCACTGGGGACACTGTGATACTGGGGACAATGGGGACACTGTGATACTGGACTGGGGCAGTGGAGGGGCACTAGGACATGGTACTGGGGCACTAGGGTGGCACTGGGACACTGGGGTGTCACGGGGATGGCACTGGGGTGTCACCGGGACATTGGGGTGTCACTGGGGTGGCACTGGGATGGCACTGGGATGGCACTGGGATGGCACTCGGGTGTCACTGGGACACTCCCTGCCACTCCCCAGGGCCAGGGTGGCCCTGCTGGCACAGGGCAGGGACAGGGCCATCCCCTCCCCCGGTCCCCAGCGCTGTCCCTGTCCCTTGTCCCCAGGTGTGGCCGCGGCAGCCGGACGCCAGCGCAGATTTTTTTATTCCATTTTCTAAGATTTTGGGGCCGCCCAGAATCCTTTTGGGATTTTTTTTATTTTATTTTATTCCCACGCTCACTGCCACCCCCGGGTGCCCAGGGCAGGTGACACGTGCCACACACCCCCCCCTCACTGCCACCCTTGGGGGACACTGGGGACACTGAGTGACACCCTGCGTGCCCCCACCCCCACTCCCCAGGGTGGGTGACACTGGGGACACAGAGCAGACCCCCCCCTCACTGCCACCCTCGGGGTGTCCTCTGGACCCCCCCCCCCACCTGTGCACACCTGGGGGGGACACCTGGACACAGGGAGGGGACACGGGGAGGGAACATGGGGAGGGGACAGGGACACTCGCGTGCACACGGACACGGGGCGGGGCGGGATCCTGGAACATTCCTGGGACTGGATCTGGGATTCTGGAACATTCCCAGGACTGGATCCAGGATCCTGGAACATTCCTGAGGCTCAGTTTGGGATCCTGGAGATTCCCAAGGCTTGGTGGATTTGGGATCCTGGGAGATCCCAAGCCTGGATCCAGGATTCTGGAACATTCCCGAGGTTGGATCCGTGGATTCCCCAAACACTCCGCAATTCCTGAGGCTCACTGGAGCTGGAGGTGGCTGGACCGGGATGTGGGAGCATTCCCAAACATTCCCGCCATTCCCAGAATTCCCGAACATTCCCAGCATTCCCGAACTTTCCCGAACATTCCCAGCATTCCCGAACATTCCCGGCATTCCCAGAATTCCCGAACATTCCCGAACATTCCCGGCATTCCCGGGATGTCGCAGGGAGCGGGGACATTCCAGGGATGCGCTGGAGCCGGGGGACACTTTCCCGAACATTCCCAGCATTCCCGAACTTTCCCGAACATTCCCAGCATTCCCGAACATTCCCGGCATTCCCAGAATTCCCAGAATTCCCGAACATTCCCGGCATTCCCGGGATGTCGCAGGGAGCGGGGACATTCCAGGGATGCGCTGGAGCCGGGGGACACCGGAGCGGGATCCGTCCTTGTCCCCGCCGCTCCCTGTCCCCAGTGCCACCCGCACCGCTCCAGCAGGACCTCGCGGGGACCTCCCTGTCCCTGTCCCTGTCCCCTCTCCTGTCCCCTCTCCTGTCCCTGTCCCCTCTCCTGTCCCTGTCCCTGCCCTGTTCCTGTCCCCTCTCCTGTCCCTGTCCCTGTTCCTGTCCCTGTTCCTGTCCCCTCTCCTGTCCTTGTCCCTGTCTCCTTCCCTGTCCCTGTCCCCCCCTGGCTGTCCCTAGTGGGATGGGGACAGGGCACAGTGCCACCCTCACGGTGTCACCAGCCACACCCCGCGGGCACCGAGGGGAGCGCGGTGGCCCTGGCGGTGACAGCGTGTCCCCCCCGGCTGTCCCCAGTGTGTCCCCCCCTGGCTGTCCCCAGCTTGTCCCCCCCCGGCTGTCCCCAGCGTGTCCCCCCCTGGCTGTCCCCAGCGCCACCGTCCCCGCCCCAGCCCCTCCCGCGCGGGAAAAGCGTTTTTAAAAATCCCAAAGGACCGAGCCCGGCGGGGGCCGGGGGTGGCAGTGAGGGACCGGTGACACCGGGACAGAGGGGACAGCCCGGGGGGCTCCTGGCACGGCGGTGACACCGGTCCTGGCACAGAGGTGACACCGATCCGAGCCCAGCCCCAGGGACTCCTGGCACAGAGGTGACACCAGTCCTGGCACAGCGGTGACACCAGTCCTGGCACGGAGGTGACACCGGTCCTGGCACGGAGGTGACACCCATGCGAGCCCGGCCCCGGGGGCTGCTGCCCTGTGGATGGTGCTGAACTCGATGGCATCGAAGACGAGACGGTGTCACTCGCCGGACAAGGACCTGCCGGGAGGGGACAGTCACCGCCGTGTCCCCGCCCCACTCCCGATGTCCCCACCCCTGTCCCAGTGTCCCCGCCTCTCTCCCGGTGTCCCCGCCCCTTTCCCGGTGTCCCCACCTGGATCCTCCTGGTGTCCCCGCCCTCTCCCGGTGTCCCCGCCCCTTTCCCGGTGTCCCCGCCCCCTGCCGGTGTCCCCACCTGGCTCCTCCCGCCGCTATTCCACGTCCCCGTTCTCGCTGTGGGTCCCGGTGGCCGCGGGCTCCTCGCACGGGGACAGCTCATCGATGGACGCCTGGTTGGTGATGCCTGGGGGGACACGGGCAGGGTCACTGGGGACACGGCCTGCGGTCACCGGGGACACCCCGGAACTTCTGTCCCGCCCGGGGCCACCCCCCTGCACAGCCTGGGGCCACCTGCACCACGTTTGTGTCACCTCCCGTCTGGGAACACTGCGACAGAGGTGGCCTTGAGCAGTTCGTGGTGGTCCCCAGCCCCTCCCCGGTGGCCGTGATGGCCATAGTGGCAATGGTGGCCATTGGTGGCCATAGTGGTTGTACTGGCCGTGGTGGCCATTGGTGGCCATAGTGGTTGTACTGGCCGTGGTGGCCATTGGTGGCTGTGGTGGCTGGACTGGCCATGGTGGCCATTGGTGGCCGTGGTGGCTGTACTGGCCATAGTGGCTGTGGTGGCCATGGTGGCCGTGGTGGCTGTACTGGCCATGGTGGTCATGGTGGCCGTCCCCTACCGCTGGCCGCCCTCTCCTTCCACTTCTGCTTGTTCTCCTGGATGTGCTTGGTCCAGGTGGAGCGGAACCCGGCCAGGTCGGCTTTGATGTCCCCCACCTCCAGGTGCTCATCCAGGGACGGCTGCCGCCACTGCGAGCTGGGGGACAACGGGGACGGCTGGCAGCGGGCCAGGGCCACCGCTGCCACCACAGGGCACAAACCTTGGGGACAGGGACACTCACCTGGGCTGCTGGGTGGCAGCGGGGTTGCCCTTGGCTTTGGAGCCGTCCTCGGCCAGCGGCGTCACCAACTTCTCGGCCACGTCGGTGAGCACCGAGAACGTCGGCTCCACGATGAAGTCGATGAACCCTGGGGACAGGAGGGGACACGGTGTTGCTGGGGACACACCGAGGGCAGCGTGGGGATGGCATGGGGACAGGACAGGGACAGGAACCTCGCCCGGACTCACCGATCTGCGACTGGGCCACCAGCGTGGAGGTGCGGTCGCAGAGGGGCGAGAAGGGCAGCCCCAGCTCGGCCTCCTTGTCCCCCTGGCAAGGCAAGGGACATCCGTGGTGTCCCCACGGGGTGTCCCCCGCGTCCCCCCGCCCGGCCCCGGCCCTACCTGCCGGAAAAACTCCTCCATGAGGGCCTTGGTCCAGCGGCTGTGCACCGCCCACTGCTTGGTGGGGTGGCTGATGTCGGCCGCGTGCAGCAGCAGCGACAGCACCTTGGACTTGTCCAGCCTGGGGACAACAGCCCGGCGCTCAGATTGTCCCCAAAGCCACCCCGCCAGCCCTGGGGACACACCTGGGGGCTGGGGACCACCCCCACCCACCTCTCCAGCTGCTGCAGCGCCGTCTTCATGGACTTGACCTGCTGGAAGTGGCAGGACATGTCGGTGGCCAGGACCATCTCGATGACCAGCGCCCGCAGCTCCCTGCGGGGAGGGAGGGGACACGGTCAGGGGACAGGGCGGGGACAGCGAGGGGACAGCGAGGGGACAGCGAGGGGACAGCGAGGGGAGCTTACGCGAACTCGTCCTTGGTGAGGTTGACGAAGATGTTGAGCTCCTCGTCCTGCATCAGGCGGAACACGGCGCTGATGTGGTGGTTCTCCAGCACCGAGCGGTCATTGTACAGGATGGCCGTGTCCGACCTGGGGACACGGGGACATGGGGACACTGGGCACGGGGACAGGACCCCCGCAGCGAGGGGCGTCCCTGGGGTGGCAGCACCGCTGTGTCCCGGCTGTGTTGGTGGCCCTAAGTGTTCCTCAGGTGTCCCCAAGGTGCCCCACGGTGTCCCCAAGGTGCCCCACAGTGTCCCCAGGACGGGTCTGCAGCCCTGTTTGGGACACGCCGTGCCACCCACACTGTGCTGTGCCACCTGGGCCATGCCGTGTCCCTGTCCCCGTGCCCTCACTTGGTCTGGATGTGGAAGCTGTTCGTTGTCCCCGTGTGCTCGAAGTCGTGGATGGCGGCGGCGAAGACGATGGCCAGGAGCTCGATCTCGGACAGGCAGTGCTGGGGACAGGGACAGCGTGTGAGGGACAGGGACAGGGATGGGGACAGGGCCACCCCCACTGAGTGTGACACCCCAGGTGTGCTGTGACAGCCGTGTGGGGACAGCGGGCAGCACACGCACCAGGTGCCACCCCACGTGTGACAACTGCGCACAGACACGTTCCAGGTGCCACCCCATGCGTGTCCACCTGTCCCCCGTGCCCGGTGCCACCCTGGGGACGTTCCCATGGCAACGAGCACCGCCAGGCGGGTGGCGCGGTGCCAGCCTTGGGGACAGCGCTGTCCCCGTGTCCCCGTACCAGCATGCCGGTGCGCAGCAGGAAGCAGTGCACGGTCTGGGTGACGTCGGCCGCGTGCACCTGGTTGTGGTAGGGGTTCCGGAACTTTCCGTAGCCGCCCTCCAGCGCCTCCAGCAGCGACGTCAGGAACGCACCGGGAATCTGCCAGTGGGGACATCGGGGTGACGGGGCGGGGACAGTCCCCAGGGGGCAGCTCGGGGATCCTGAAGGGGAGTTTGGGGTCCTGGGGTGGATTTTGGGGGTCCTGGGTGGTCTTGGGGGGGTCCTGAGGGAGTCTCAGGACTCCTGGGATGGAGTTCGGGGGTCCTGGGGAGGGTTTTGGGGCTGTTTTGGGGTTTTTTGGAGGTATTTTGGAGGATTTTGTATGTTGGGTCACACCTTGAAGCGGCTGTTGAGGTTGTAGGATGGATTTTGGGGGTATTTTTGGAGATTTTGGGGTGTTTTGGGCTGCCGGGCACACCTTGAAGCGGCTGTTGAGGTTGTAGGATGGATTTTGGGGGTATTTTTGGGGATTTTGGGGTGTTTTGGGCTGCCGGGCACACCTTGAAGCGGCTGTTGAGGTTTTAGGGTGGATTTTGGGGGTATTTTTGGGGATTTTGGGGTGTTTTGGGCTGCCGGGCACACCTTGAAGCGGCTGTTGAGGTTGTGGCGGGTGAAGAGCTCGAACACCACCGTGCGCAGCGAGTGCTCCTCGGCCGCGCGGTGCAGCGAGAACACGTCAAAGCACCACTGGTCCAGCCCCTGCGGGGACACCGGGGACACTGGGGACACCGGGGGGGTGCCCGGGAATTCCAGGAATACCCAGCATTTCCCAGTAAAGCCCAGTAAAACCCCAGTGAAGTCCGCCATTCCCAGTTATTCCCATTGATTCCCCGATTCCCATTGATTGCCAGTAATTCCCATTGATTGCCAGTAATTCCCATTGATTCCCATTGATTCCCAGTAATTCCCATTGATTCCCAGTGATTCCCATTGATTGCCAGTAATTCCCATTGATTCCCAGTGATTCCCATTGATTCCCATTGATTCCCAGTAATTCCCATTGATTCCCAGTGATTCCCATTGATTCCCAGTGATTCCCATTGATTGCCAGTAATTCCCATTGATTCCCATTGATTCCCAGAGGTTTCCAGATATTCCCAATGATTCCTAGAGATTCCCATTGATTCCCAGAGATTCCCAGTAAAACCCCAGTAATTCCTTGAGATTGATTCCCGTTGATTTCCAGTTTTTCCCCAATATTTCATTGATTCCCATTGATTCCCAGATATTCCCATTGCCTCCCATCGATTCCCGGCGGCTCCCAGTGCCTCCCAGCCATTCCCAGTAGCTCCCAGCAGCCCCCCGTGGTTTTGGGGTTTTTTTTGGGGGTGTTTGGGGTGCCCCGGTACCTTCAGGCAGTTGAGGACGGAGGAGGAGTAGCTCGGCCCCACGGCCGTGTACGTCCGGCGGAACATCCTGGGGGGAGGCAGGGCTGGGGGGTCTGGGGGGGG